TTTCGGTTATCTCCCCCACATTTTCTTCTCTTTTATTTCATTTCTGCTTCATATGAATGTTACACGATTGACAAGGTGGATCATTTTACAAGCTATACCGATTAGTACCTAAGTTGCTTTTTATAACTAATAGTCCGGTATTGTGTGTGCACCTTAACTCGGTGGCTCTCTATTCCTATAAAAGATTAGCTGTAGTATCCGGTGGTAAGATTTCGATACAAGACATATATATACCATTCGATTTGTCTCGACTAGCTGAGTCGAAGTAACACTTTTTTCCGGAGATGCCTGCGGACGGAGCTATAGCTCCCCGAAAATCAAAAACCATAGGGGGGGGGGGGGAGTAAGCACAATTTTGGGGCGAAGAATTCGATTTTTTGAATGATAGCTCATTCACCAAAATTAATTGAATCTTTGCCTTTGATAATTTTGTGAAGTAGAAAAAGAAATAAAAATATGGGGAGATAACCGATAAACACCGAATAATTTCCGGAAAACAAAGAATTAAAAATCTCTAGATTTGACAGAAAAACATTTTAAAAATATAAACACCTTAAATTCCTCACTCAAAACACAATAATTGTTTGCCATTTCACTACCCTTTTCAAACAATTGAAAATTAAATTCATTTGAGTTTGGTAGCCTTTCAGCTACAAGAATATCCTCTTCCATTCCCTCATCCAAATAACTGAGAAAAAAATAATAAAAAGAATTTCTAATTTTACGGGGAACCTTTTAATTGTCTGAAGAAATAAATAAAGAAAAGCAAAACAACAGGCAGAATTTAGATTTTCACGAGAAAAATATTTAAAAAGAGAATTTACTTCAATTAATTCAACTCGGTTTAATTGAACTAAAAGGAATTATTATTTTAATTTAAAAAAATTTTTTAAAAACGATTTTCATGTAGGCCAATCACTAAATGTTTAATACTGGCCAAATAGGATTGAATCCACCATTTTAGGGCTATAAATGACAAAAGGAATAAATTAGGGATACGAGAAAGTGCTTTTAAAAAGTGATTAAAATTAAAATATAAAGTGAAAGGCCAAACTGAAAAATCCCTGATAAATGTGCCGAAAATCGTATTACCGTAAATGCTCGAATAATTACCCTGGGAAATTATTGTTTCGACATTTTTATTAGGGAGTAATTAATCGAGAGGAGGTGACAAATTTGGGGTATATCTCAATAAATCGAGGAGGAAATCTATTTATTTTTTGATATTGTGTCTTAAAATGTTAAAATAATTAAAAATGACAATGATTTTTTGAATATTTTTAAAATTTGTGTGGGAAAAGTGTGGGTAATTATTAAAGGGTGTAATTATTTGGGTGAGAGTAATTATTCAAGCATTTACGGTAGTTATATATCAAATTTTAATTAATCCTAAATTTGTTCCAATAATTTGTTGAAAATTTTTGATTAAATAGCTTTGAATTTACAAAAAAAATATTCAATCTATGCAGATAATATCGATATAAAACTATTTACTACTTAAAATTTAGAGATAAGCCTGGACATCTTGATTTTTATGGATCCGGAGGCAAGATTAAAACATTTTTCAGTATTTCTTGGGTTTTCTTCCAAAAAATTGGTTGGACCCTTAATCAATTTAGGTCACGATTTGATTTAATTTCCTATCCCTAATAAAATCCAAATGAAATTTCCCTCAAAAAATCAATTTAAGACTTCAAAAATTATTAACCTTTATTCGGAAATCCTTTTCCAAACCCAATATTTTTGAATTGAGTTTTAATCTTAAAATTAAAAAAATAATTTTAAATAAAAAAACTTCCAAATGTTGACCATTTGAAGAAATACAATCAATTTCTGCCCCATAAAATAAATTAAATTTATTCAAATTTGAAGAATTTAATAAATTTGAGGGAGGATTGAGAGTTGCTTAAAAATTAAAAAAATTTTTAAAATTGAGAGAATAGTAGAGAAATCTGGATTATCGAAATTTTAGTGATATCGAGACTTGTAGGAAAATTTCTTTCGAGGTCGTCTTTTTAAATTTTTTTATAAAACAAGCCCGTAGCCAGGATTTTTTTCGTGGAGTGCCAAGGGGGGAAATTGAAAAATTTTTGGCGCTGTAGGCAAAAAGTTCGATTTTTCGCGCCACAGGCAAATATTTTGAAAAATGTAGAAGGCCGTTCAGCCGTTCCTGAATGTAAGGCAGCTGAACCCATCCCAAAAAATGACAAAAATTTAATAAGTAATTATTTTTTCAATGGTTATCCAATAAAAATATATTTAGAACTATTTAAAAAATATTTTTGTCGTTAAAAATAAAAATTTAAATATTATTTTAAATAATTTTTGGAATAATTTAAAAATAAAATTGTTTAAAATTAGCCAAAAACCTTTAAATATTCCAACAAATTCAGAATTTAAATCAACATTTTGGGAAGTATTTGGTTTCATATTGTAAGGATGATTCACCTAGCAGCATTTAAAACGCTTAGGCGGGGGATAAACGATCTAAAAAGGAAAAAGAGAAAGCACTAGTCGATGCCCCGGTAGCTCAACGGTAGAGCTCCTGCATATAGTGAGCGAAAGCGCCTAGCAACAACTAGCAGGTGGTCGCAGGTTCGAATCCTGCCCGGTGGCTAAACTTTTGCAAACTCTTTCTGGTGCCGCTAACAGGGATCCCCACTTGCTGCTGGGTGAACCAGCCGATCCACGGTCATGGCGCTTGACCGAGGGACCGGTCTGATGTAGGGATGGAGATGTAAGGATGATTCACCTAGCAGCATTTAAAACGCTTAGGCGGGGGATAAACGATCTAAAAAGGAAAAAGAGAAAGCACTAGTCGATGCCCCGGTAGCTCAACGGTAGAGCTCCTGCATATAGTGAGCGAAAGCGCCTAGCAACAACTAGCAGGTGGTCGCAGGTTCGAATCCTGCCCGGTGGCTAAACTTTTGCAAACTCTTTCTATATTTAAATCTTCAACAGTCACAATTTGTTCAAATTTATGCCCAGCAAAACACATTTTCTCTTCATAATCAGTTTTTGAATTTTCGTTTTTAATTTTTGTTTTAGTATTTAATTCTCTAATGAAATAAACTCCTAAATTTTAAAATAAAATTTTAAAGCCTGTACCTATTCCTGGACTCTGGGTTCGATTTATTGACCTGGGCCGGATCTTTGGCCTGTAGTCCAGGAAAAGCCTAGGAAGGTCAAAAAATGCCTAGGTCTGGACTCTGGGTAAAGTAAAAACCCAGGCTCTGGCCAGACCCTGCTCGATCTCTATTATTTAGGGTTGCCGTTTCGAGTCGTTCAAGGCATTTTTTCGGGCTAGTTTCTTTTATCGAGTTGGGCCATGCGAGTCGTTTTTGGGCCAAATATCCTATTCCCAACTCGTCCTTTTGTGCAGAATCGGTCCCACTTTGACAGCCCTAATTCCAATGAAAGATTATAAAAAATTATTATATTTAAAAATAAAATGTTATAGTGCGAGTACGGCTAAAATCACTCCTATCAATATGTCCTTAAGTTTCTACACCTATTATAATTAAAAATTAAATTCCCTCACAAAAATAAATTTTCTCCCAAAAAAATAAATTTTCAATAAACACCTTTAAATTTACAACAAGCAACTTTTACACCAACAGAATTTGGCCCATTATCATAACAGGAAAACATTAATCTAGTTATTGTCCCTCTCCAAACAATAAAATCACATTCGTGAATTGACTAAAATAATTTTTTTTGTTTTTAAAAAATATAAGAATGTTTTATAAAATTATTGAGGGGGTTCTTCAAAAAGTTAGGCAAAATATCAATTTAACTGACTACAATTTTTATTTTTTTTCAACTTTTTGATAATATAAGGGTGGGGTAAGGGAGAAGAACTATATGAATTTACGGCCTATCCATAGCAATAAAAGGTAAAAATGTCCGAGACCAAAAATTTTCCAAGACTCAAGACTAGACCCCAAGACCAAGACAGAAAAAACCCCAAAAAATGTCTCGGAATCAAGACCCAAGACCAAGAGTCTCGGACATCTCCAATAGAAAGTATTTGAAAAATCTTTATTAGATACTATCCTATATATTCTTACGTGTGGCATTAGATTATCAAAATGGTAACCAAAGTCTTTATTTTCAAAAATTTTTGTCTTTATTTTAATTTATCTCGAAAATTTTTCCATATATGTATTGTCAATCTAATTATATTCCCCTAATTTTTACTATAATTTCGTCCAAAGCCCTTAATTCTTGCCCAAATTCACCAATTTATTTTTTATTCAAAAACCTTTTTTAACGAACTATTCGGCACAGATATAGCCAATATCCACCTCATCAAAACAAGCAAACCTTCGTCTTCTTTCTCCTCTTTTTTAAATTTATCAAATCCTTGTGTTAATTTTGTTGAAATTTTTGTTTTGTTGCAATTACCCAAAGAAGCTTCATAAAAATAACGAGCTTGAGAACGTCCAGGAGAGGGAAGACGAGATTTATCGAGAGAAAATTCGCCAATACAAGCTAAGCAAAAATAATTCTGGGTGAATTTGGTAATAGTTTGGAATTCGCCCCCCCTACCTTTTTTTCAACTTTTCCCTGAACATTTTGAGCCTTTTTGCTTGATACATAATTTATCATATATCATTCGAAAGAGCTATTCGAGCTTGGTCGAATGTACCATGATTGGCTAGATCTGATCATTCTTACGAAGATTATGAAGATATCTAAATCCTATTTGGATAAACTTTTTGTGCCAATGCAAGGGGATCAAATAAACGGTCACAACTTTGTTCACTTAAGTCAGATTTCATTGATTTTAATGTCATTCGACTCAGCTCGAAGAGCTCTTTCGAATGATATATAACTAATTTGCCATAAAATGAGAAGAAACTAGTAAAAATAGAAAGGAAAAGAAGGAGGGGGGCGAATTCCAAACTATTACCGTGAATTTTAAGAGAAAATCGAGGAATATGCCCCCTATTCAACCTCTTTTAATGTCTAAAATTTTTAATAAAAATTCTAAAATTTTAGTAAAAACCCGGTTTAGTAAGCAAATTTTCTGTTAAATTTATTTGATTAAAATTGTGAGGATTTGATGAAATCGGTTGTAAATTATCAAAGTAATCGTTTTTGGCTTTCTTTTTAGGCAAAGATTCTTCTGAATATTCCGGAGAATTCATATTTGCTTCTGAAAAATAGGTATGTAGTAATAAATTTGATAAATGTGAACATTTACAAGTTTTGGATCTTCTAATATAATACTCAATTGTACAAATTAATTGAATAGTAGTGAATAGGCCGTTGAGTCTTTTTCGGGCCAAAATTCGATGCCCGGTTGGATCTATTGAACCGGGCCGGGCCCCCAACCCAATGTGACATGCTATCATGTACTATAATAGCAAAGAGCTCGTCAGGTTTACAAAAAGATCAGAACAAGCCACGTAAATTTTTTACACTCTCAAAACCTTTAAACGGAATAGACTCGTTGTCAACTGTTGTCAACTGCGATGCCTATGCAATAGTGACCGGGCCCGGACCGGAGTTTCCCGGGTCCCAAATCCTGGTTTTTTTCGCAATCTGCGGATTAAAAAGTTAGTTAGAAAATTATTGAAACAATGAACTTCAATTTTAACTATTGAATAAACCTACAAATAGATTAAGAGTAAATGATAACAAGGAGTAATTTCCGAATATATGTAAATAAATTTAAAAAAAAATTTTCAATTTTTACCCCTAAAGATTTTGCTATTAATTATAAAGCTCTCTCTAAACTCCCTTTCCATCACAATTAAAACAATAACTATGAGGAAGATCATTCACTATATATCTCGTATTTTAATCAAAGGGTCTTACAAATATAAAGATTAAGAGTGCACAGTTAACGTCTCAAATTTAATTTTAATATAAATCTCTAATACTCTCATAAATACTTAATTCTTTAACATTTACGTGTCATTGAACCAATTTCTAACCTATAAAATCATTAAAAAAATTTTCAAAAAGCTAATGTCTTTCACTCAATAGTTTAGTATCCAAATACTAAATTTGTTTAAAATTTAATTCATTTTTATAAATAAATTAAAATTTAAATTTGAATTTGTATTTTTTCTGAAAATTTTTATTTTAATTAGCAATATATCGAAAATTTGTGTCATCCCTCAATGCTAACCCAGAATAAAGTAGGATTTGAGGGGATAGAGTGATATAAAGGGGGTTGACGGTATCAAGTGTGAAATCGATGGATTTGAATGGAATAGGGAGTTGTGGGGTAAAGGGATATGGATAGTAGACTTTTTTAGTCGCTCTTATCAATTTATATCACATTAAATTCACCAAAATCCCCTTTAATCCCTCAAAGTCCCCTAATTAAAAATGTAGAAAGAAAAACGTTTGTGATCAAAATCTGAAGGCATTAAAGGTCCGATAGTCAGTGAAAACCGCTGAAATGTCTAATGTATGTTAACATGTCAATCTCATAAGGCAGTTCCTAGTGCTCGTTATCCCTGAGCAAGGAAAACATAATAAAATATTTAATTGTCATTATTAAAATTAAAAAATGTCTAACAATTGTTTTCCGCTTATATTAATTTTGGGAATGCATAAAGTCCTAAGATAGATCCAAAAATTAGCTATTTTGAGCCAATTTAGACTCTATTATATTTACGTTATTAGCGTCGGAAAATTTTTGGATTTTTGAATATTCAAGGAGCCAGAATTATCAGAATATGACGAATTGACTGGAAATAGTCAAAATTGAAGAAAAATCTCCAAAAACCTAAAATAGGTCCAAAAAAGCTCAAAAAAGGCTCAAAATAGGTTTAGGTCCGAAAAGGCCGAAATATGTTTTTTTAGGTTCTATTAACCTAAAAAGTACACAACATCTCGCACTAAAACAGTGTTTTTTCGACTTATCATGGTATGATCGCCAAAAAATAGGTAAAAACCTTAGACACGCTCCACTCATAATAATTCTTTCTGTTCATGACTTTTTGAAAATTTTTCCGTGAATCGGAATTTTTACTCGTAATCTTACCAAAACTTCGAAAAGTCTGATAATTTTTGGGAATTTTTTTATTTTATTTTCAATAAACATTTTCACATTTACCCAGCTAATTCTTAAAATTTTAAATTGATTTTTATGGCTGTCAATAAGCAACTCGATTCTAAGGGCAATTTAAGAAATTATTTCAAAATTATACAAAAATATATACATATATTTATAACTTCTCATTAAATAATGCTTAAATGTTTACTTAAAAATATTTAAAAATTTATTTAAATTTCTAAATACATATTATTTAGACTTGTTTGAATTTTAAATCGTTTAAATTTTTGGGTATCTCCTTCTAACCGTTAATATAATCTGATAGTTAAATGCAAATTATGTTGTTCATCTTACATGTAGGACTACTCAAAAAATTTATCCAGCATTTTCCAAACATTTTTACAAAACATTTTTAGTAATTTTAAAAATCTAGTGTCAATAAATATTTTTATAAATTATTATTCTTTTTGGTTTCAATTTAGTTGGATCCAGAAAAATTTTTGCCATAAAATCATAATTCGTTTTTTATTCTCATCTTTCTTAATATGTACATTCAGTAAATGCTCTAATAGAACCACATGCGATTCAAGAACACGTCCAAGTAGGAGCGCGGCCATAGCGGCGCAAAGCCATAACTAACTGTAAAATTTCTGGACTTTAACAATTTTGGTATAATCTCTAGCTCGAGGAGAGGAATCGTTTGAGGAACGATTCTGAAATCTTGAAGTAAGTTAAGGCTTTGCGCCGTTATGGCCGCGCGCCTACATAGGTTGTACCCGTGCTTCTATTTTTCGTCGATCCTCTTGTAGGGTGTGCTTATATTAGGGAGTGTGCTTCAAATAGAGAGTGTGGTTCTATTAGAGCATTTAAAGTAAATATTCTTATTTAAACAAACCGTCCAATGCTAAAATTTTATTTCTTAACATTATTATTTATTTTTGGATTTTGTTGGGAAATTGATATTGAAATAGAAATAAATGAAGATTATTTATTGACACGTCAATTTAATAATCTTTTGAATTTAAAAAATAATAAAAAACAAATTTTGGATTGTTCATTAATTATTAAAGTTGGAAATGAAAAGATGGCTATTAAAGGAATATTAAAAGAAAATAAATTAAAATTTTTAGATGTCTCAGAAGAATTCTTACTTGAAGGAATTTATTCTAAAAATAAAAATAATTATGCGGAATTTTTATTTGAATTACCTGAAAATTATTTTGTCTCAAAATTTAATTTAAAAGAAAATTTTGCCGGAAATCAGGTAGGGGAAATCAATGAAAAAAATTTATTTAATTTTAATTACTTGTTATTATATGTATGTATGAAGTGATGTAAACATTTCATTAATTTAATTATATTTTTTATCCCACCCTAAATGCCTATACCTGTAATGCTTACAATAGTATGATAAAATCATTTTTTTAATTCTTTAAAAGTTTAATTGAGGATCTGGAGGGATTAAAGGGACTTCTGTAAGCCATGAGCTTTACTTTTATGCGTTAAGTTTCAGGATTAAATTTTATAACATATTCTCCGTTGGGAGCAGGCCACCTATGTACCGCAGAGCTATAACAAATAGTCGAATCCGGGACGCCTTGGTATGGTTCGATGCATCTCGACGAGCTGAATCGAACCATATCGGGGAGTCTCGGATTCGACCCTTTTGAACGAAGTTATAGCTCTTTGTTACGTTGGCCTCGCGGTACGTAGGGGTGTACTCTTAACCGTTATACCATACTCGGAGTAAGAAGATCTTTAAAGTATGTAGAGCTTTTTTTAGCTTTTTCCCCTTTAACTAAAGTGATTATATGAAAAAAAGTATTTTAAATAGCATTTACTTCGGTAAAAGGAGATTCTATAAAGTTTACATTAAATTTTACAATTAATACATGAATAAATTTTTAGATAATACATAGAAAAATTTATCAAAACAATTTTGAAGATATTTTAAATAATTCATATAAAATATCCATTTTGCCTGGAAAACACGAATTTAATTTAAATTTAAACAATATTTAAAGTAAAATTAATTATTACCGTCAATTCTATTTGGAGAGTATTTGGCACGAAATTAATTTATTTTCGAGAAAAGTGGAATTATTAAATAAAGCCAAAAATATGGTATAAAAATTTTAGAGTCGAACCTTTCATTTTTTTAATTTTTATTTGATTTGATTTAAAAAATCCTTAATCAAATGAAAAATTTTTCATTGTGATTCCCTCAGCCTTTGAGATTCCCCCAGAATCTCAAAGACTGGGATTTTCTTTGTGATTCCTCCAGATTTGAGATTCCCGACGAGATCTCGAAAACTAACCCAGTCATGTTTCCAATATCGATATCAATCACATATATTTTTCACTATTCCTTGGGACGAGTTTAACCACCTTATTTAGAATAGACAGGTTCCGTAAGAAAGGTTCGGCCATCATAAATAAAAATAATAAAGGAGGAAAAACATTTGGATGAATTTGAAAAAATATATCAGAAATTGTTTGACAATGGTATTTGTTAATTTAATTATTTTTATTTTGTTGATAATTTTTATTAAAATTCACATAATTAATAATAAAGCTACATCCGTAAAAAACCCTGGATAATTAATGTTTCGACCTCTCTCTGGAGAGGGTAACTGATAGAGGCTAATTATAACTATTTTTAAGCGAGTAATTATTGTTTCAACTTTTCATTGGAGGGAGTAACTAAAGTAAAGTAGCTGGGCTACTTTATATTTCTCTCCTTTAGCTAGTGCAAAAGGTTATTCGGCGGCTGGGAGCGAACCAGCATCTTCAGTAGACCGGACTGATGTGTTAGCCATTACACTACGCCTTCTACTGCACAACCTTAGAAATTAAATAGCTATATGCTTTATACTACAGGGTGACAAGAAATGTTTAGGACAATTTTCATTTTGCCTTAACTTTTTTTCTCATTAATATTTTTTAAATATTTTAATCTCATTTTGTAGCCCAAACAATTTTCTTTCAGTGCTTATAAGTCAGATTCCATTATTAAACATTTTTCTTAAAGATTAAGCGTTTGCTAATTAATATATATATATGGTATTATCGAAATTAAAAAAATCTTTGTTGTAAATAAATGTTGATAAATAAATATCCCTTTTCAGTCATTTAAATAATTTCAGATCCATTTATTATATATATGAAGAAAGCTGAAGCAATATCTCTATTTAACCTTATTAAATCTATTTTACTAGAAGCAAATAATTATCAAAAAAATTTTATAAAAGAGATCATTCAAAACAAAGAAAATACAAGTATTTCAACGAATTTAAATATAATTTTAAAATATAATAATAGTAATTTATTTGGTTTACATACAATTGGGGGCGAAAATTTGTTTAATGTTTTGAAGGAGGAATGCTTTGATTTTACAAAACAAATTTTTAACAAAATAGGTAATTAAATATTTAAATTAATAATTATTCCCAACCGAAAAAGGGATTAGATTAATTACACATAATTTAAAAAATCTCCGTAATCTTAACAAAAATTCGAATACTAACTGAAAATGTCAACCTAAAAACTACATAGATTAGTGCAAGCAAAATTCCTTATTGTTCTGTCATTACACCTAACATGCCGTAATATTTAAAAAAATTAATTTATGGCAAAATTATTTACGTATTAATTAAAAGACGGGTTTTCAGGGTTCGGGTTGGGGATAAATATGACCTTGGCCTAGTGCTACTCTAGTATTAACATACAGATTAGTTACAAGATTCTTATATTTTTTTGTATTTCAAATCCAATACCGAATTTTGACCTCTCTCTGAAGAGGGTAACTGATAGAAGCTAGGTAATTAAAACATTTTGGAATATGTATGGGAAATGTGGGAAAATTTATAATTCATTCTATTAGAATAAAAAAATATAATTTTTATAGATGAATACAAAGAATTCAATATACCGGTCAATAATGCAAGTTTATTCAGTAAAATAAATAGTCGTATGAATTTATTGTTCTTATTCCGCGCTATTTTGGAATTATACAAAGTTTTGTCAGAAAAGATTGAAATTAACGATAATGAAAATTTATATAACGAAATGTTAAACAAAATTAAGGAATGTTTAAAAAAGCCAAAAAAGTGCTTAGCATTTCCAAGAATGAAGCATACTTTTGGCATAATTCTTCAATTCGGGTATGGACAGATTGTTAAAAAATTAATTGATGGAAAAATTAATGTGGAAATTAATTAAAAGAATTATAAGGATAGTATGAGAAGAATTTTTAATGACAAATTGAAAAAAAAATATTTGAAATTTAAAGTATACATATGCTAGTCAATTTAGTATTTTAAGACAAATTATTTAACACAAAATATTTTGTTTAAAATTTTTTTAATTAAAAAGTTTTTAAAATGATACATATTTATTTTCCTTTAACAAATTATAAACATAATAGTCTTACCCTCTTAATTTTCCCAAATCACCGGATATCTTCCCAAAACTCTAGATATTGCTTTTAAACCCAACCACTCCAAATACCCCTATAGATTCCAACTCCACATCCTGATCCCTGTAAATCCACCGATATCCTTCTATCGGTTACCGTGCCTAATTTTTTGAAATTTTTGCTTATATACATTTACCAAACTCAATTAATTTGTAATTTTAATTATCAAAAATTAAAGATTTTTTAAAATAATATTTATTTCCTTCAACTAATTGTGTGTAAAATAATATTTTAGTAAATTGCTTGAAAAATAACATGACTTTCTAAATTTAGATTATCTGCTAGAAAAAGCTAATTATTCTATTGTAATACCTAAATAGTTAACAACAATTATTCCTAATTTAAAGAAAATATTTTAAAAAGTTCCAAAAGAAATTTCAGAGGATTCAATTCCACATTCATCCACACCTCTAGCAATTTTGAAATATCCATTCATTCCCCAATCATAATTCCATTGGTTGGCACACAACCAATAATCCAAATGTGTTCCGTCTGGATAAGTGTCTGTACCCCAACCAATCATTCTAACGGCATGCCCGCCTACATAAACATCAGAAGTTTGCTAAATTTAATTTATAATTTTAGTAAAAGGCAATTAAAGTCTATCCAAAATTTGCCTGATATACTCCTGATGAATAATACATAAAATCATCGTAAACATCAAAAGCAGCTACAACAGAACCATTAGCCATTATTTCATTTTGAATGGCTGCTACATTACTTTGAATATAACCTGTTGTTTTAGCTTAATTTAAAAGAATATTTTGATAAATATTTAAATTAAAGACTAAACTATATTTTTTATCCTGGGTATAAGCAACATTCCAAGCACTCGATGTACATGAAGAGACACAGGACGGGGCAGTGTATTCAGTTGATCCATGGGGAGGGAATGGATATGGTTTACAACCACTGTTCCAAGTATAATTGGTTCCGGTAACAAGACCTTTAATTAAAAATCAGATGATATTTGAGAATGATATTTCTTTAAAAAAAGATATGGCAGGTTGGCACCTACCTGGCATCAGAAAGTTTGCCTAACTTTTCTATTATCTTTTTCTGTATCTTTTTGTATTTTGTTTAATTTGATTACTAATGTTAATTTTTTAACGTTAAGATTGCATAATTACTATCAGAGTGCCAGAGACGAATATTTAGTAGGAGGTTCCATTGAATATCACAGTAAAAATAATTTAAATACCTGAAGTCTGTGTATATTTCCATGCATAGTAAGGATCACCTCCACCACATCCCCACATTCCCGGAGTACAACTCATCAACTCTAGTGCTGAGAAGTAAACTGATGGATTTGTCTTTAAAGGTGCTGAATTCCCCTTTTTTACTTGACTAATACAATAACGATCAGTTAAAGCTGAGGCGGTGGAGACAGCCCAACAATCTCCACAACTTGATTGGTCCTGTTTGAAGGATTATTTATTTATTAAATTCCTAATTACCTGAATCATTCCAACAATTCCAGCACAAGATGCAAATCCTGTACGAACATCAAAAGAAGCTGGAATTGAACGTTTACGGCGAAGATTTGTTTTTACGGGAGTAGAGACTTGTTTTTTCGGGACTTTAAGCTTTGCCCCGAGCATTACTGAATGCTTCTCCAATTTAGCAATTCGATGATGTAATTTAGCAATCCATTTTCCTTTATTTTTAGCGTTTGCCTTATCAACTATTTTTTGAGCTTTATCTAACTTTTCTTTTTCAGTCAGAGTTGCTGAGGAGGATAAGTAATAAATTTGGGCAAAAATAAGGAATAAAAAAATTATTTTTATCATTTCTTATAAGGGGTTGAATTTAATATTCTTATTAATAAAATTAGGAATTGTTGTCTTAAACCCGAAACTTGAATCCATTTTATATTGAATTGAAGATACACTTTATGTTTGAACAACTTTTAAAAGTTTATTAAAAATATTTTGGATAGTCTCTTAATTTTTAAAATATTATTGAAATTAACTCAAAAATATTTATTTATACATATTATAGTTTTGCACTTTACTCAAATATATTGCAATTTAAATAATATTTTCTAGACATAATATTTTTATATTTTATAAAATTAAAGCAAACAAAAATAATTTAAATTTTTAAATTCTGTTGAATTTTGTATGAAAATATTTAAAATAAAAAATAAATACTTTAAATAATAAAAATATTTTTACTTTGTTTATGTACTCGATAGTTACCATCCCTAAATTATTACCCCACCCCCTCCTCCTCCTCCCTCAATAATTTTCTTCTCCCTATTAATTATCCCTTTTAGCGAGAGATTGAAAAAATAATTACCCCGGATAATTTTATGAAATCTAACGTTTCTTCAATTTATTCGCAATTATTGTTTGTTTTGGATATAATTAATGTAAATATTTATTATTAAAAATATGTGGGAGTTAAAAAATATTTTTTTAAATTTTTTAAACATTTGTTCAAATATATTTATGAAGGACATATAAATTAATATATAAAGGATTATTTAATATTTAACTTTAATACATTAATTCCATAATTTATTAATACCTAATAATCAAATAAAATTTAAAAATGTTAAAAATACTAAACATTTTCTTAATTATTTTAATTATAAAAATAACTGCGTCATTAAAGCTTAGCATTGAAGAGACACTGAATAAAGCAAAAACATTTGTTGAAAAAATTAATTTAGAAGCAAAAGGATGGGACGCTAAATTACATAAACGTTTTGCTTTAATGGAAGATAAACATTTAAAAATGTTAGGAGTTAAACTTGCAAAAACTTTGGCTCCACCACCTCCAAGAAATGAATCGAAAGAGAAAAATAAGGGAGAAGGGAAACATATTAGAAGGAAAAGGCAAACAAGTTGTACTGACACTGTTGGATTTGATGCTCGTAACACGTTTCAGTGTTGTGCTGGAATTATTGGTGCAATTCAGGTAAAAATTAGATGTTTAGGAAGTAGAATGAAAAGTCTTTTAGGATCAATCCAGCTGTGGAAGTTGTTGGGCAGTAGCTGTTTCTTCTGCTTTTACTGATCGTTATTGCATTTCCCGCATGAAAGCAGGAAATCCCCCAGCTTTTAATGATCCGACAGCAAGATTTTCTGCTGCGGATATGTTGAGTTGTGCAACCTACACTTCCGGTTGCAATGGAGGAGATCCTTATAATGCCTGGTTGTGGACATACACCTCGGGTATTTGTTAATAATTGAAAGTAAATAGGCAAACAATTTCCATTTAAAGGAATTGTGACCGGAACAGATTATACCTGGGCTACTGGATGTAAGCCTTATCCCTTCCCACCACATGGAACAACTATGTACACTGCGCCAGCTTGCACATATTCTTGTACAACAGCGTGGAATAAGGCTTATAGCGTTGATAAAAGATTTTGTTTGTGATTTTATGATTAATATTTATTCGAATTTTTCTATTAAAGCACAAATGGTTTATTTCTTGCAAGGGCAAGGAAATGTTGCTGCAATTCAAAATGAGATTAAAGCAAATGGCTCTGTTGTAGCTGTTTTTGATTTGTATAGCGATTTCTATTATTATTCTAGTGGAGTATATTCGGTAATTATTTATGTTTCTTCCAACAATAGGATTAAATTAGAGTAGCAACCCGACCCCGAAACATCGAACTCCGATATGTCCTCGCCGGCAAACCCCGATCTCGATATACCCGACCCCGAAGGGTCGGGTTGCTACTCGAGATTAAAGTCATTCAATTCTTATTTACCTAATAATTATCAAAATAATATTTTAATTTATTCAGCACACCCCCTCAGCAACTTATGAAGGAGGACATGCAGTTAGAGTTCTGGGATGGGGCACACAAACATGTTCAGACGGAACACGAAGAGATTATTGGTTAGCCGCCAATCAATGGAATACTGATTGGGGAATGCAAGGATTTTTCAAAATTCTTCGTGGAACTGATGAGTGCCGTTTTGAATCTTCAGAAATTTCATTTGGCACTCCAAATATTAAATGATTAAAAAAATTTATTGACAAAGTTTATTATGTAAAAATCGTAGAATTTAAATTATGTAGTTAGTAGAAATATGCCAATTATACATTATATTTAATTATTTAAATATTGGTAGATGTAAATTAAATAATAAAAATATTTTGAATAATTATATAATTTATTTAAAAGATAAAGAAATATCTAGCATTCTTAGAAAATTTTAAGAAAAATTATTGGGAAATATAAAATATTAATTAATTAAAACAATTATTTTTAAGTTAAATATGGGCACATCATTAGGTTAAATAAACTGGAAATAAAATTAATTAGATTCTTAAAAAGATGCTTACTTATTTATCAACTTTTGTCAAAGAATATTAAGTTTTTGCAGTTTCTTAACATTTTACTTACCAAGTACATTTTAATATTGTTTTTGATAATTTAAGTATTCAAAAATTTAAGTATTCAAAAATTTAAGTATTCAACTGTCAATATTTTATTTAATCAAAATATAATTATAATTATTTTCGAAAATGATAAATTTTTAAATCATGTCATTTCGGCACGCGACTAGTAAATTTAGAAAGACAAGACAAAACTTTAAAATAAGCCTCTTTCAACTGTTTCCGCAGGAAGGATTGTTAAGTTACCCCAAATATTTTCTAGTAATTTTATTTCTTTTCATTAAATTTAAGTTTAAATGAAAGCACGAAAAATCCTCAAGATTTCTACGCATTTCCTGCAGACTGGATTAGTGTTTTAAATAACTCTATGGAAAGATTGCTTTATTTAAGCTAAAGAGTTTTGGCCTTTTTTCTTTAATAAAATTATTTTTTAAAAATCTAATTTTTAGGTATTACAGAAATACACAATGTGGCGATTTAATGGAAAAAATATTGTAATTTTATATTTAAAATTAGATAAATTATGGTTCCATAATTGGAGACAGGATTTTTATACAAATGACTTTTTCCCCTAAATAGGCTTGATGATTATAAGTAAAGCAGCTGGGCTATAGCTATTTCTCTCCTTTAGCTAGTGCAAAAGGTTATTCGGCGGCTGGGAGCGAACCAGCATCTTCAGTAGACCGGACTGATGTGTTAGCCATTACACTACGCGCCTAATGCACAGCTTTAGGAATTTGATAGCTATATGCTTTACATAAGTATTCAAATTTGGTATTAGCTAAAAGAACTTTGAGTTAACTTAGCTTATTTTTGCTGCCTAGTTTAAAGAGCTGTCCAAGACTCTTAGTCTTGAGTCTTGACTCAAAACTTTTCTTGGGTTTTTTTTTGATCTTGGTCTCGAGTCCTGGAAAATTTTCACTCTTGGACAGCTCTAATGCCTAGTATGGCTGTTTATCAACGCAAATTTGGAGCCAATTCCTTTCTCTATTTATTAACTATACCAAAATTTGATAAAAATACTAATTTTTAGTGTTCATCATTAAATATAACAACAATTGCTATACTAGTTTTTCTGAACATTAATAACGAAGCGTTCATTGCTGTTGAAGGTTCGGAGCCTGAGTCATTACAAGGAAATTTTGCTTTAGCAAAATGTAAGGAATTTATTTCCTAATAAATTCTGTTAAATTAAAAACAAACAATTTATTAAAATTTTTTTCAAGTTTTCGCATTAGAAGACAATAATGCCGTCAGAACTTTTCAGCCCTTGGACAAACGCCAATCCAAACAAACAGCAAAAGAAGTACAAGTGAGGAATGGAAATGATGAGTCTGGGTTTGCATTCGCTTTTGCAAAAAGAAATGTTGAAAGATTTGCTAAAATAAAAAGGGGAGAAAGTAAATCTGAGATGCCATTTGCCGGTTAGAATATTCGGAGCAGTTCAACTGAGTCTCGGCTCAATTGAATCCCGGCCCTATAACTCAAGTACATGTTGATAATTTTTTGTGATTTTGGTACCATTTGATAAAGCATTAGATGTACTACAATATAATAAAGAATCAAAATTTTTGATTGATTGGAAAAAAAGTTATGATCTAATAACTAACTTTTTCAAAAAATCTAATTTTTCGGCACTTTATCGATCAAAACTTTTTACCAGTCGGTCAGGAATTTTAATTTTTTGATATATTGTAAAATATTTAATGCTCTATTCAATGGTACCAAGAGCAAAAAAAGTGACCATCCCTTCATAAGTTATAGGGTCCGGGACTCAGTTGAGTCGGGACTCAATTGAAGTGTACCGTAGAATATTAATATAAAAAATTTAAATTTTATTTTTAGTGGAACTTGTTGAGCTCGTTCCCGGCAATATAGTAAATAATGGCGGTGTTTCTGGTGCTCGCTTTGCCAGACACTCCGAACTCTCCAACTTTGCCAGACGTTGAGAAATATAAATTTAATTGAAGAAATATGTAAAATTTAAAAATTAATGGAAAATATTAAATATGAAATATTTTTAAAGAATTAAATAAATAATTATAAATAAATTTTTAAAAAGAAATTTTATTCACAATTAGGTCGACAAATTTTACTTGAATTTAATTTGTACTAAATCTTTGTCCTGAGCTTTCTCTTGACTTTATAACCTAATAATTTGGTAATTGTGTCAATCTCTCTTCCCAAAAAGAAATAAAACTTTCGCTTGAACCATTTGCCTCAAAGAAAAATTTAATGTTGATAACTCCATTTCAACTTTTCGCCCAACAATAGAAGATGCGTATTATGTAAGTGATCTTCGAGACTCTCGGTCTGGGTTTCAGAGTCAGGAAATTTCCCAGGGTTTTGAGCTCTCGCTTCTCGGTTTCGACTCTCTGCTTTTTTTTAACTCCCGAACATCTCTAACCTATATTACAGGGCTGGGCGAAATCTAAAAATAAAAAGCGAAATGCGAACGCGGAAGTGCGAAATAAGCCCAGCCCTGTTATATTTCACATATAAATATCACATATTTTTAACTCCTTTACTTTTATCTTTCGCCCAACAATGCCTATTTAAATAAACAAAAGCCTAAAAAATATTTTCTTTGATAACTTAAGGATATTTTTAATAATTAAAAAATTTTTTTATTATCATCCAAAAACAAAGTATTTCTTCATAATTATTTTAAATTTACAAAAAAATTTTATTTTTTAAAATTGATTTTATTTTAGGCTATAAAAAATCCAAAAAGTTTTATTCCTCATATTTTTTAGAATTTTTATTTAAAATTAGCAGATAATAAAAATTTACTATTTTCTCACACATAGGTTTTTTGCTTTATTGCTTTAAATATACATATGAGAGTTTGTGTATATCAAAGCTATAAAATTATTGGCAACTTTAAAAAAAATTTTTTAGTAATAAAATTTTGTTTATTTTATTTATATTTTTGAAATTTATATTTCATATAAAGTAGTGGGCATAAAGACGGGGACAAACTCACTTATTTTTTGGTTAAAAAATGATTTTAGGAAAAAATTTTGCTTGATTAAATACTCCATTCAATTCTCTATCTAAGGAGCATAAGCTTTGCCGGATTAATATTTTTCAATATCGAGCCTAAACTGAAATAAAAATATCATGCTATTTTTCGCGTTTCACAAAGATAGAGTTCACAAAGACAAGTCTTTTAACTAAGTATTCATCCGGACAATAAATCTCAAAAATTCATCCACCCATATTGTGTGTAAAGTAAAGCAGCTGGGCTATAGCTATTTCTCTCCTTTAGCTAGTGCAAAAGGTTAATCGGCGGCTGGGAGCGAACCAGCATCTTCAGTAGACCGGACTGATGTGTTAGCCATTACACCACGCAGCCTACTGCACATCCTTATGTAGGAAATTAATAGCTATATGCTTTAATATGGTTGGTCTCATTTCTCATTAACTTCTAATTTGGCTGCTGCGTTAAAGTACAACAAGCGTTTAAGTGAGATTTATAACGTTTCGTTTCTGATAATTTTGGATAATATTTATTTATGTATTCACCACTCAATTAAGCCTGAAATTTTTCAGAAACCGTTAGCCTTCACTATAAAACATACTCTCACTTAAATATTTTATGTTTTAATGTAAAAGTAAGCCTATTTGATCTCTGGGAAAGGCCGTTTATGCTTAAATTTTGAAATCTCTGGAATTCGTTACTTAGAGAGTTAAGTAATGGGTATTCTTCACGTGATTTCATGTTGATTGAGATTCTACAAAATTGTATTTAAATAAAATAAATTTATTTTATTATTATGTTTACACACCTTTTTATTATAAAATACGCAAGAATAAGTATTGAGTTTTTACTCTATATTTAGAAATTTAATCTAAAAAATATTTTTATAATTTTTATTCAATAAATAAATTTTCTAAACACAAAAAAGATTTAATTTATTTTAATAAATATTTACAGGGGACAAAAAAGGAATACGCAAGAATAAGAATTCTCATTTAAATTTTTAAATATTTTGTCACTCATTTTGTAGCCGAATTAATTCTCTTCAGTGCTGGGTATAATTGGATAAAACTCGGAACCTAACTCACTATCCATTCAACCACAACTACTTTACAAAGGAAAGGAAAGAAAATCTTTTTTACCCGTCTCAATTTTCTCTTTCTTTTCTTTTCTCGCCTACCATCTTTGCTTACTTCTTTTTCTCTAACCCATCTTTAGGGGTGTATAGCCGGAGCCGTGGGGAATTGGAAAACCTTGGCTCCGGCTCCGGGCTCCGGGGTTTGAAATTCTTAGCTCCGGCTCCAGCTCCGGGGTTTTCAAAATCTTAGCTCCGGCTCCGCCGGAGCTAGCTCCGGAGCCGGGCTCCGGAGCTAGCTCCCGGAGCCATACCCAGCACTGATTCTCTTTATGGTGTAAAGCATATAGCTATTTAATTCCTAAGGCAGTGCAGTAGGCAGCGTGGTGTAATGGCTAACACATCAGTCCGGTCTGCTGAAGATGCTGGTTTGCTCCCAGCCGCCGAATAACCTTTTGCACTAGCTAAAGGAGAGAAATAGCTATAGCTCAGCTGCTTTACTATGGCTTATAAGCGCGATTCTATTAAAGATCCACATAACTATACAACCACTCAAATCTTTAAGTTTTTTTACACCTAGAGTTATAAAAAAATTTTCTAGATATAAATTAAAATCGTGTTTAGGACACAGAAAAGCCCTATTAACAATAAAAAAATTTAAAATTTAAACAAAACGTTTTTATTTTTTGCTCCCAAAATTACCTCCACATATTTTCTTCCCACTTATTTTGTTTTACTACACAAAATTGTTGTTATTGTTACAATTTTTTGTCACTTTATTTTAATTGTTTCAACTTTGTTTGTTTTATTTGTATTATATTATTACACTCCTTTTTTATGTTGCAATTTTTGTGAAACATTCTTATTTATCCAGTTTTCTATTCTTGGTTCATTATGTTTTTATTTGTTTGATTTAAAGTTAATTTATTTAGTAGGTGATTTATAACTAAGATACAGGATTTTATTAGGTTTTTGTGAATTAAAAAAGTTGGATAATCTTATTGTTTATATAAGTATTAATCCTTAACTTATTCACACAAAAAGTAATATGAAGATATTTTTTGGCGATTGTATATTGGAGTTTTACGGAAGTTCCGGAACTGGTTCCGGAAGTTCTGGCATTTTTTGGTTCCTGTTTTGGAAACTGGAACTCAAATTGGATCCAGTTCCGTCTCCGGTTTACAAATCGGTTCTAGGCGAAGCGGAACTTTTTTACACCCCTAAAGATTTGTTATTTTAAAATATGGGTTGCCCTTACACACTAGTGTTTTGAATAATAATTTGAATAATAATTGAATAATATTTTTGAATAATAATCAGGGTGACCCTTTCCAAAACACCATACCGCTCAAAAATAGGGCAAAAATAGGGCGATATCGGCCAAAAAAATCCCCGGGCTAAAAATCCAGATTTTGATCCGGATAATCCGGTCCGTATAGGAAAACTAATTAAAAATCCGGAAACCGGATCAGGCATTTTTCAAATTTGGAACTCTAATATTTATGTTAAGTACTTTAAAGAACTATTTTCCGTGAGATTCAGCGACCGCAAAATTTTAACACCCTCAAAAAATTTCTATCTCGATAAAGGGACAGGAAGAATCCGATCAGAATTTTTTATGTCCACGGATGTAGTGTAGCGAGTATAATCAACGGAAAAAAATTTTTCGTTGTTATAAGCGGAATGTCAGTGATTTTAATCAGAGGTTATAAAACATAACGAATTCTGCTTTTAAATCAAGCATTCTATGACTATACATACATATTTAGATAATTAAAAATTAAAATGTATAATTTATTAAATGGAAAAATTATTATTTCAAATGGAAGAACTCATTTTGCATTTTGCTTTTCAAAAATATTTTGGATTTTCTTTTTAACTTTTATTTTTTGTTTTTATTTTTTAATCCAAAAATGGACTAACAAAAGTTTTATTATTAATAAAAATTTAATAATGGAAACAAAAACTAATTTTTTGAATGAAATTTTTGAAAACAAACAAAGCTTAACTGAATGTATTGAGAATGAAAAAAACAAGTTTGTTGTTTAATTAAAACGTATTATAAGTCTTATTTAGAGGCCATTTTATTAAGTAAAGTTTGAAGTAGGAATGTTACGAGTAGCCGAAACCCGGCTTTTTCATCAACCCGTAACATCCCTGGTTTGAAAAGTTGATTGGAATATCATAAGCTTTAAACATCAAAACTATAGCATTTAAACCAAACTTTAACTTTGCTAAAATTAAAAAATAGAAAGTTCATTTTGCTCGAAAATTACGAAATGTATAGATGGGTGCTGGGTAGTGGGCACTTGTTGGCTCAGTGCTGGGTACTTGTTGGCTCCGGGTTTTTAGAATTTTAGCTCCGGCTCCGCGGAGCCAGCTCCGGAGCCTCCTCCTGTAGGCTCTCTTCCTCCCTCCTTCCTCCAGCCAGCTCCAGAGCTAGCTCCCGGAGCCATACCCTACACAGGTATAAATACACCGAGAATTAGGGGACCTGTAAAATCTAAAATTAATTGAGCCGAATTCATGAAAGTTTTACTTGACGGACTGTAATAGACAAAATAAATTTGTAAAGTCTCTTTTATGATAAAATTTAATTATTTAAAAAATAAGTTATTTATTTAGAAGTTCTGATACAAAATCGAGATTAGAATGTTGTGGAGAAAAGATGGCATATTCATTTAATATACAAAAAAATAATAAATTAACAGAGAATTTGGTTATTGGAAGAAAATTTGATTGTGAACATTTAAAATTATTAAATAAATATAAACTTGCTGATAAATACAAAATTAAACAAAAAATATCAGTTAGTTTTCTTTTTAATTTTTGAAAATTCAGAAGTTGCTAAATCCATACCCAGTGTAGAGCCCAGAATAATATAATATGAGGGAATATTAATTAATTACTCCTGTTAGTCTGGCCGGACAATATTCACCGCTTACTCCTTAAGAGCGATTACATGGGCAACGACTTATTCCTCCGATCGGGCAATAAATATATTAATTCACTTTTATTATTAACTGACTGAGTAATAGACTGCCTGATGGACTGACTGAAAAAACTTCACTAAAAAACCACTTATTCCTAGGATTATAATGGTTATTGATAGGCGGGGTCGCTGTGAAACTTAGTTTAATATTTCTCAATTTTATTTCCGCCTTACAATTCTAAAAAAAAATTTTTAAATTTAAGGTAAAAAAGCCAGGTGACAAAAAATTTACTATTGTTACCGCCGCCTCTACCGGCTTCTTTCCAACATTAAGGAAACTTTTATATTCCATGAAACAACATTTTGGTTGTTCTCAAAAAATTATTTGTTATGATCTTGGAGGAATTAGTGAAGATAAAAATATGGTAATTATTTTGGAGAAATTATTGTATATATTAAATAATAAAAATTAAGGATTTACGTTGACCACGAAAATAAATAATAATTATTGTTATAATAATAATTATTGTTAAATTATTATAATTATTTTTTTATTATAATTATTTAATTATTGCCTTTAATAACTACCCTGGCTAATTATTGTTTCGACCTTCCGGTGGAGGGAGTAATTAACTGAGGGAGGGTAATTATACGAGGTTTAAAATTTGAACGTGATTTAGGGCATTTGTGGGGGTAATTATTGTTCCAATCTATCGCTGGATGGGGTAATTAATGGAAGTGGGGTAATATTTGAAGGAGGGCAATTAATACAGGTTATACGGTAATTAGTTTTAGTATAAAATAATTATTATTTGAATATTTTAACTAATTTATTTTCAAAAAGATGAAGGAATTAAATTCCGTCTGTGAATTAGAATTGAGAAAATATAATTGGAGTATTATGCCAAAAGATGTTCATTCTCCACAAACTTATGCATGGAAAATTTATATTTTATCTGTTTGTCTAGAAATTATTTAAAAATAAATTAATTTTTAAATTGAATTTAAGCAAGTATTTACACAATATGACACATTTATGTGGATGGATACTTCAATTAATCTAGAAGATAAAAAATATTTGGATCCAATATTTGAGGCTATTGAAAAAGGAAAAATTTCTGAGATGGTTTTTCCTGGAGGTAATTTTTTCTGAATACTTTACAAATTGCCGTTTTGACAATTTTCTTCCGTCTTTTTTAGCTTTTATCGAGAATTGGCTGTAAGAGTAGTGATGCAAAAGTACCAAAATTTCTCTGGAAACGGTTCCAGTTCTGGAACTGCTTTTTTATTTTCTTTGGTTCCAGTTCAGGTTCTAGAACTGCTTTTTGTATTTCGTCGGTTACAGTTCCGGAACTGGAACTTTTGCAAACTGTGTAAGAGGGTCAGCATTAAAGGAAATGTTCCGATTGATTTCATTACTTTTAATATTCCTTAAAACCTTCCCTCATAGTAATAAGCGCTTTAAAATGCTAGTCAGCTTGATTTCCCTTTTTCCTAAATCTTTTTGTTTAGTTTTTCCTTTCCAGAAAAATAGTGAAAAACAGAATTAAAATAAATTCAAATAGTTAAAATTAAAAATTTTTTTTCAATTTAGGTACTGGTCATAGTATAAAATATGCAACTAATTTGAGTAAGTATACACTTTACTTTATAAAAAATCTTAAATTAATGAAAAGGAATGTTCACCTACACACCGATTATTACTGATTGGATTAAAATTGAAAATCAAAAATGGGATGTTGAAATGTATGATGCAAATTTCATTATATTACATAAAAGCGAGTATACAAAAAATTTTCTTAAATGGTAAATTTAGGCAGCAGGCCAGGCCCAATGTACCGCCGAGCTATTACTTTGTTCAAAATTGTTGAATCCGTTACGTTCTGGTATGGTTCCATTCAGCTAGTCGAGACGCATCGAACCATACCAGGGCGCCACGGATTCGACAATTTTGAACAAAGTTATAGCTCGGCGGTACATTGGGCTCTCGGTACATCGGAGTGTACCTATAAATTTAAAAACAAGTTGTTCGCAATTATTTTTTATCGAAACATTAACTTTAGGGCTCTTCTTTGCGCAGCAACGAAACAATGTATTCATCCTGAGGGTTCTCAGTTATATTGTACGTCACCTAGAACAACAATTGGAAGTTGTCATCGGTTCGATCAAAGTGTTATGGGCATTCTTAATGTTGATAGTGAATATAAACGTTCATTAATTGGTATGAAAATATGAAGTAATTAACTTTTAACGAGATTTGGAGTTTTGAAATTGATCAAATTCTCCTTCAAATTCTCCTTAAATTCACTCTAATCTACCAAATCCCACAATATCTCTTTTAATCCCTTCGAATTTGGCTTTTGAGTTGCAAAAAGAACTTTTACACCCTCAAATTACACTTAAGAAGGCCCATAATTTGCCACCTTACAATTTTAAATACATTTCAGTTATGAAAATAAAAATTTTATTTCCGATTTCCGCCTTTCGATTTCCAATTTCCGGCGTTTTTTCCTTCCGATTTCCGATTTCCGAAAAAAAATTTTGATTTCCGATTTCCGAGTTCCGACTTTTGAGCCATTTCCGATTTCCGACAGTTCCGATTTCCGACACCTCTGACTGTTCCGACCCACCTCTGCTTCTAAGGAAGGCATAGAGAGGAATATTTTACTAATTAGTAAATTATAAACTGTGTCAGTGTCGGTAATCGTTGCTCGGGCATAATATTGTATTTATTATAAACTTCGCGCAACCCTAATTTGTGTTATAAGATTCTTTTTTATACATATATTAGAGAAAGTATATAGAGAAAGAGTTTGCAAAAGTTTAGCCACCGGGCAGGATTCGAACCTGCGACCACCTGCTAGTTGTTGCTAGGCGCTTTCGCTCACTATATGCAGGAGCTCTACCTCTGAGCTACCGGGGCATCGACTAATGCTTTCTCTTTTTCTTTTTTAGATCGTTTATCCCCCGCCTAAGCGTTTTAAATGCTGCTAGGTGAATCATCCTTACAATAGTTTTGGCCATTAAAACTAAAATTAGCCTTATTTTGGTTAAATTTATAATTCACTTCAAATGCTAAATTTACGAACTTAATTCAAATATAAATAAATCGTCGCACAATCTTCTAATAGTGCGACGATTTATTTTTCAACCATCCTATAGAGGGTCGGTTTATTAGAAGGGTTCGGTCTATTATAGAGAGTCGTACTATTAGAAGATTGTTATTTTATAAGGGCAATTGTTATTTTATAAGTAAATATTCGTTAAATTTTAATTTTCATTTTGTTTCTTTGATATTTTTAAAAATTATTTTAGATAAAGAATTTATTCCTCATTTCCATGCTGATCATCCTAGAAGAAAATCAAAATCTTCTGTTCGTAGAAGAGAAGAACTTGATGGAAATTTGGATTTTAAAAAGGGGGTTGCTTGCTGTGAAAAGAAAAATTAACTAACTAATTTTTAATCTTTTTTATTTAATTTATTTTCTTTAACAATTTTACTTTAAAATAAAAAAACTTTCTTTAAAAAGTCGGAAATAAAAAAAGGATAAAAATAAAGAAATTCTATGTCTATAAAATGAATACCAAAAGCCCTCACAAATAGTGCCAGGCACCCCACTAAAAAGGGCAAATTTATTTCCGTAATGAGTCTTGAATAATCAATTATTTGGCAATGACTTCCTTTTAATTTATTAAAATCAGTCAAATTAAAATTTTAAGTTATATAATAATGTTCAAATAATTAGAATTGCCAATTATTTAATCACCTAGAATATTAAACTAATGAGAGATTTAGCATATTACACGGATACTTCAGTACATAATTTTGGGAAGTTATTTTTATGCCGATTAATTTTATTATTAAATTTCCCTAATTAAATTCTAGGCCCTGAATTCACTAAAATATTATAATTAATATTTTTGTTTTATTCAACATTAATTTTTAAAAAATCCTCTAACAACATTCACGAGGCAATAAACAATCGAAGAATTGATTAAGACAATCACATTCTCTCGTGAATCCTCTCATATGATGAATTGATTCTTCCCTTCTTGCCTCTCGACTCTCCCCTCTCCTCTCCACTTTTTTTATATCCCCCCTCTAAAATTTTTACATGCTTCATATTGAGAGACAACAAAGAAAAAAAAGAAAAATTGCAATGCGTGGGGAATTTTTTCTCCATTAATAATTACTCCCCCTCCCCTCTTCCCCTCCTAACTACACCCTCCCTCCCTACACCTCCCTCCTTCACTCCCCCTCCCCTCTTCCCCTCCTAACTACACCCTCCCTCCCTACACCTCCCTCCTTCACTCCCCCTCCCCTCTTCCCCTCCTAACTACACCCTCCCTCCCTACACCTCCCTCCTTCACTCCCCCTCCCCTCTTCCCCTCCTAACTACACCCTCCCTCCCTACACCTCCCTCCTTCACTCCCCCTCCCCTCTTCCCCTCCTAACTACACCCTCCCTCCCTACACCTCCCTCCTTCACTCCCCCTCCCCTCCCCATTCTTCTCCCCCTCCCTCCTCCTCTCCCCTTTCTTCTCTTAACTACCCCCTACTCCCCTGCCCCATTCTTCTCCTTAACTACCCCCCCCTCCTCTCTAAAATCGACATTCATTGTTGCTTAAAAAATTATTTTTTATTTTATGTATTATAGCTTTTTAAAATTTAATTTTTTTTAATTTAAAGGATTTTTTATTAAAAATTGAATATTACTTAACAAAAATAGAAATTCAAAAATTTAAATTTTTGTCTCCTCATTGGAGCATATAAAAATATTTTTTAATCTACCTCAACAACTTTTCATCTAAAATGAGGATAAAATTTTTCAAAAAATTTAACAAATGTTTTATTTTCTTTGTTTTAATTGAATTTGTTATTTTTGGTAAGTTTTCCAATTAAATTTTTTTTATTCTGTAAATCCTTTATAAAAATTATTGTTCGGTATTTGGATTTATTTAAAATTTTTATGTTGATTCGGATTTTAAATTTAATTTTTTTAAAAGAAATTCTTAAAGAAAAGTAGATTATACATAGACAATTGCGGATATTAAATTCAAAAAATCTGCAATTTTTGTAATACCTATAGTAGATTTACAGGGTGCGTAAAAAAGTTCCGAAAATTCCGAACGCTTCCAAACGCTTCCGAAAATTCCTTCTATGTCGCGCACTCCTCTTCTGTTATTGATGCCCGAGAATATTCTGATGCCGTCCTAATAAATAAGTGCCTTTGTTGACTAAGGATTTAATTTACATTAATATTATGTACAATCAACTAATAAAAATTTCAAATAAATTAGAAAAAAAATTATTTATAACTTATAACCAACCAAAATTTTCCCTATTAGATTTAAAATTTTAAATTTAAATACTAGCAAATTTTAACACAAAATTAAAATAAAACATTTAGATGTAATAGAAAATAGTAGTTCATGTCTCGACATTTTTTGTCTAAAAAAATCAAAGTCTGCGCGGATATTTGAGGAAATTGAAGAAATTGAAGGGAATTTTGTAAGACGTCCGTTATTTATAAATGAACAACCGAAAGATCAATGTGAAAATGATGAAAGGGAATTTGATAAAGTAGTAAAAATTAATGGAATTGAATACAATTACACAGATGAAAAAGAGCTAGAAGAAAGTAAAAGCAAAGAGGGAGGAATTATTCCTGAAGGAAAAGCTAAGGTTGTTTATAAGGGGTTGGGTTCTTTGGAAAATCTTTGGAGGTCCTTTGAGAATCCCAGGTTCTTGATTAGGTTTGGTTCCTAAACGAGGTGTATCGCGGGAAAAGTCATTCAATCCGTCTTCCCCAGCAGCAGAAAATTGAAACCATGTGAAGGTCACAACAACATGTTATATGTAGACTTATTGTAGCAGGTCATACATATAATCGAGAAATAATTTTTTAAATTTTTGACCACAAACTTTTAAAAAAACATTTCAAAAATGTGTGTTTTCCTTGGTATAAAATTCTCGACATTATACTTAGATCGAGAGGAATCAAATAGTATATAATATTACCTAGTTTTGAAATTGTCTCCAATATACATATAAAATAATCTTTAGTTTAACCAATTTCTAGATATTTACTGGTAAATCGTTTACTAACGGAAAAGTATATTGTGTTATTTTGAAAGTTTTTGATAGCCAAAAAATGAATGAATACAAAAATGAAAAGAAAATTTTAATGAAAATAAAATCTGAAATTCAAAAAAATAAAGTTAAAAATTCAAAAATAATTGAGCTTTATAATTAGTAAGAGTTTTTCAAAAATTTTTTATTTATCTTTTACTTTTAACTTTGTTAAAAAATTTTTTTTTAATTTTTTAAGATTAAAATTTGATCTGATCCGGGAGTTTTTGATCCGGGGTTTTTTGAGTATCAGACCCGGACCAGATTTTTTTTTGACCGATTGGTCGGACCGGAATTTTTGGAACAGACCCGAACCGGATTTTCAGGATCAAAATCCGAAAAACCGTGTTTAATCAAAATACCCGGATTCCGGACTGCCGGATCCGGAAAATCCGAACCGGATCCGGTCCGAGTTTCAACTCTACTTTTAACATTATTAAAAAAATTTTAAATTAAATTTTAGTGGAGAATGGAAAGTTTTTTCTAATGAAGAGGAGGAAGAAGTTACTAATTATGTACTTGTTCTTGAATATGGAGGAAAACCTTTTGATTCTTATTGGAAAGATCTTGTAAAAGACGATAAAACTGAACAAAAACTTGTCCCTCAAGCTAAGAATATTGTTAAACAGACAGCAGAAATTTTAAAGGAATTACATAGCTGTAATATTTTAATTTATTTTAATAACCATATTTAGAGACTTTAAATTAATTTTAAAAATTTACCATCTTAAAATTACTTTTTTTTCATTCCTCGGCTTCCTATTTTCTTAGAAATTTAAAATTATGATTTATTTTATATAAAATATTGACAGAATGAAATTTTACAAATTCAGGAGACTGAAAATCACATGCATATGTAAATGTGTTAAAAATAGAAATGGACGGGATCGGGATCCCAGTCGGGATCGGGCTGGAGTATCCGGGTTTTTTGAATCCATATCCCGATTTTTCTGATTCATAGACCGAAATACAAGCCGCGATCCTTGTTTCGGCCAATCCCGATCCCGAACCTGTATCATTATTCCAAAATCCTGATCCCGGTTTTACATCGGGATCCCGATCTCGCCCAACTTTAATTAAAAATATACATAATTTTGTAACTTAAATTTCCCTTTTCGAAAAAGTTTCAACAAAATATATTATTATTACAAACTTATTTAAAAAATTTTGACAGATAATGTTCTTCATTTGGACCTAAAACCACAAAATTTGGTCTATATTGAAGGAAATGAAGACGAAATAAATTTAAAATTGGTTGATTTTGGTATTTCTAAAATTCTTGATGAAAATGAAGTTAAAAAGAAATGCTTCTTTAAATGGGATAAAAATGAGTGCCGCTCAAATTTAATAGTTAAAGGAAAAGGCCTGTCTGGAACGCCTCAATTCATGAGTTTTGAACAATACAAGATTGATAACTATGAAAAAGTAATTTTAAAAAAAGATTTAAAATAATAAAAAATTAAAGGTTTACAAATTAATCCTCTTAAAAATGAGATTTTGTTACCTTTAAATTAATTTGTTTATACAATTTAAGAAATTTTAAGAGATAACTATTTAAATCTTATGAATCTTATTTACTTCAGAAAAATAAATAGAACTTAATTGGGATAATACAAATAAATAATATTTATTGGGGAATTTTAATATTTTCTGTTTCATGGAACATCTTAAAATAACTCATAATACACAAAATTCTTCCTAAAATTTAAAAAATAGTTTATATCCTCAATTTAAAAAAATAAATTAACAGGTTGATCTATCTCAAAAGTCTGATATTTGGTCATTTGGTGTTTTGACGTTTTATTTGTTAAGTCAAGCAGTTTATAGAGGAACCTCGTACTCTTATCCGTTTATGACAGAGATTAAGGAAGGAACTCCTATTAATTTGCAACTAGAAAACATCAGAACTGCTATCAATCTTACACATAGACACACACTAATGAAGGGACAAAGAAATTTGGGAGATCCAGCTCATGCAAAAATTTGCAAACAATTTGACAACCTTGTTAACGTAATCATAATATAATAATAATGAAACTTTTTTAATATGCCAACTTTACGGATTAAATGCTGACAAAAGAGAAAATGAAAGAATTTAAATTAAAACAAAAATAATAAAAACAATTTTTTTTAAAAAGAAAAAAATTTAATTTCGATAAATTTTAATTAGAGCCTACTGGAAGGTCATAGATAAGTAGTTGGGCTACAGATGGGCTAGTTGGGGAGTTGGTGTAGTAGTTAGGCTAGTTGGGAGGGTTGGGAAAAAAAACAAAAAAAAATATTGTTTTTTAGAGTTGGGCTCCTAAATCGTGGAGCAAATCAACAAAAGTATATAGAAAAAATAGGGAAAAAATAAGACACAAAATAAGATTTAATATTAATTAATTTATTATTTTAAAATTTTTGTAGAAATGTTTGGATAAAGAAGCAAAAAAGAGACCAAATGCAAAAAAGTTAATAGATGAACTGAACAAGTTGGGGAACTGAAAACAAAATTTTGGAAGGACTGATTTGTACATGTGTAGATTTTTAAAAATGTTTTTTAACGATTTTATAGCAACAGAGAATTTTAACAGAAACAAATTATATTTTTAAAACATCTTAAATTAAGATTTGTAAATGATTTCATTTTTGATTTTTTATAAACATTTTTTTAATCCCGTTGTGTAAGGATAATTTAAACACTTATTTGTTAGACTGGAGTTAAGCGGACGTTGTCGCAGGGTCGAATCCTGCTCGGTGACTAACTTTTGTGAAACTCTTACTTTTAAACAATTTTTTAAATTGACGCTACCACTCGTTTTAGTATATTTGAGTGGTTTTTAGAGCACTATAGGGATCTGTTCAAGAACACCAATGGCTTAAATTTGGCCCTAAAAATTAGAAATTTGTAAAATTTTATAAGATTTCAGATTTTTTAATTTCAAAATTTTTTGGATAAATATTATTTAGTTTTTTTTAAATCTCAAGGGTACTTTTTTCTCTAATTTAGCATTTTAAATAAAAAAGTAGGTTTGTTCAAAATTTTATAACCGAAGGAAAATAGTGATCAATTTTAATTTTATATAGAGAAATGTCGTTAATGATAAGAAATATCAGGATAATATAAAGAAAAGTTCGTAAATGTTAATTGTTGTTTTAAAATATTTAAAAGGTACAGGATTTAGTTATAAAAATTTCTAAATTACATAGTTGAAAATATGTACATATATTAGAGGCTTGGCAATCTTTGGAATTCTAACCTCGCAAAAAGCTACTAGGAAAATGTTTGCAAAATGACCTTGTGCCGAGTTATGGCCATTCAAAATATCGGTCTTTAGTAGTGTTTGAGTATACGGAAAGAGGGTAACGATAATCCTTCACCTTGTTAAAAGATTTTTGTCTAAAATTGGGATATCGAGGTCTGATATACTTTAAAACATAAAGAATTAGATTTGTAATAATATAATTAAGAGTATTCAAATTCAGAGGACTTGTCTTAAAACTATTTGTAATTTAACATATGTATATAATTCCGAAATAGCTAGAGGACTAAATTAATATGGGCAAAAGTTTGCCTGTTGCCCAAAATTCTCTAATACTTCATTGAAGAGGATTGAATATTTGAATATAGGAAAGAGGTTAGGACCAGAGGTCGGTCAGAATTCCGATTTACGACGTTTTTCCTTGGGATTTCCAAAATTTAGGCTGATTTCCGCTTTCCGACTTTTGAGCCATTTCCGATTTCCGACATCTTCGTTATTTCCGACCGACTTCTGGTTATGAAAAAATTAGGTATATATAACTAAAAAATTTCAAAATCAATCTTTTGTGTCGATATATGTAATTACAAATGCAGAGCTGTCAGGAAATGTCCGTTTCGTTTAAAATTATTATAATCAGTTTTTTAAAACTTTTTTTAATATTAAATTAAAAAAAAAATTTTTTTTAATTAAATTTTTTTTTCGGATTTTTTTCGGACTAGGGATGTTCTCCGATGAGGGGAGGGGGGAGGGCATGAGGAAAAAGTTCGGGGAGTCAGCGCCAATGGGGTGGAGGAAGAGGGGGGGGGGACTTTTGGGGACGGGGTACAACCCTATTTCGGACTAATCTTCGTTTCTACAAACAGCTCTGCTTTCAGCAATATTTTTACAATCCCAACAAAATACCTTCCAACAATATGCTAAAATTACTTTCATCTAATTTTGTATTGTCATAATTTGGAACTTCATTAAAATATGGAAAAAACTTGTCAATTATTTCATTTTCAGCCTTTTCAATTTCTTCTCTATTTCCTTTAAAAACTCTGTGCTTTTTTAGAAATATCCAAATATCTTTATAGAAATTGTTAATTCCAGAATATAAACGATTTGTTTTATTTAATAAATCTTTAGTTACTTCCTTCAAACTTAAAAATTAAAATAAAATTTTTTAATTAAAATTAGAGAACCAATCAAATTTTTAAACAGAAAGATGTGCAAGAAATCGGAAAAATGGTAAAGAAAAGGAAATTTTCTTCTTATATTCGAAAAAAATAAGCCAACTGATTTTTAGATTTTTAGAATTTTTTTGAGGAAAAAATATTACTGAAAAATTCAACTTCCCCTGTTCATAGAAAATATTCATTTATTTTCTGTTAAAATAAAGGTAATGATTCTCTTTGGGATTTAAATTATTGGAAAAATAAATTTGTTAAGAAATAATTGTTTTAAAATTTCGTTTAAAAAGTATTTAAAGCTCAAGTCTCGACAATGGATCTATTAGGTCGGCACCATCGGACTTTCATCTTTTTCTTTCTATCAAAAAATATTTTGAGAAGTCATAATTTCAAGTCCGCGGACGAGGTCCAAAATGCGATGGCGCGATATTTTGCCTCCAAAATGGGAACCTTGTTTTTCGAACATTGAATTCGAAAGTTGTGTCCGCCATGATCTTCATGTAGAATATTTTATTGTTTAGTGATATTTTTGATTGTTATTTTGGAATAAATATTTTAACAAAAAAAAGCGGCACTAATTATCACCCGCCCTAATAATTTTTAAGTGAAAAAATACAGCTAATTTACTAATTATATTCTTTTAAATTATCGCTAGCAAATCCACTTTTTGTCTTAATTTCTGTAATCCAAGTAAATTTTCTAAGAATATTTTGACTTAAAACTGATAATTTTGATAAATTTTCTATTTCTGAATTAAAAATATTTTCATTTTCTTCAACTGTTTCTACACTAAATTTTAAATTTAAAATATCTCTTAATTTAATATAATGAGTATAAATTTCTTCCATAGCACGACATAAAGCCATAAAATATTTTAATTCATGATACGGTATGTAAAATTTTGTTAGCTGAAATTAAATTTAAAAATTAAGTCTTAATTTTTATTTTTTTCTAATTGTACAAAATTTGAGTTAAATTTTCTTGCAAAAATTGGGTGTTGTACTGAATTTTCGTCTCTGGAACTTTCGTTTTCAAAATTTTCAGAATTTTCATCTCCGCTAGGAGATGACCGTTGACGGAACTTACCCGTTGACGTTGACGTAACAACTTCCACAAAAGTCCACGAAAGCTGGAAACAAAAGTTCCGAAAATGTTGGAGACGAAAGTTCCAGAGAAATAAATTCCTGCACCCTATTATTTTCAACAAAATTATTCAAATATTATTTACCTCAGTATTTAATTTAACATATTTTAATAAATAATTTTTAGTCAACTCCAAACTTGTTTCCTTTCGCAATTTTTCCATTTCTTCAAATTTATTTTCAATTATTTCCTTCTCATTTTCATTAATTGTTGGTTGTTTTTCCAATAATTTTCCCCAAACTTTCTCTTTTATTTCCTCAATTTTAATTTTTTGTTTAACAAAATTTTTAATTTGATTTTTTTTAAAAATTAATTTACTTAATAAATTGGAAATTTTTTCAGACAAGTCGGGCTTCTTAAATTCCTCTTTTATTTTCTTTTTTACTTCATCAATGATATTTTTAAATAATTTATCAATAAGAGATTGATTTTTATAAAAAAGAAGAATATAATATATTTCTTTAAAAATTCTTTCAAATTCTCCAATTAATCCCTTAATTTCCTTTCCCATTTCTTCTACATTATCCAAACCTATTAAAATTTTATTTTCAATATCAAAAATTATTTTGTTTGTTTCTACACGAAAATTAATTAATTTTTCTATTGCTTTTTCTGATTTTTTTCCAAATTTCTTTTTCTGTTCCCCCAATTCTTTAAATTCTTCTTCTTTAATTATTAATTTATTTAAATATTTGAATAATTCTTTTAAAGAATTTTCTTCTTGGTTTTGAATTAATGACATTAAATTCATCTCAACCTCTTCAATATTTAAGAAAAAACTTTCACAAATTGAGCCAGGAAAACAAAATTTCTTAGAAACAAATTATTTTAATGTAAGGATGATCAAAAAGGATAAGAGAGAGAGAGCATTAGTCGATGTCGCGATAGCTCATCTGTCAGTGGAGAGCTCCTACATATATGTATGTATATAGAAGCTCTACCACGCGAGAGAGAGAGAGAGAGAGCTACTTCTAAAGCTACTAGAGCTTTACCATCTCTCCCTAGCTTTACCACTCTAACACTATGAGAAGGTCGCAAATTCGAATAATGCCCGTTGGCTTAACTTTTGCTAAACTCTTTAAAATAATTATTTGTTAAATTATTTTTTAATAACATTAAAAGAGAATTTAAAAATAAGTTGGAAAAGTTGGAGAGAATATGTATGAATAAAATTAAAATACCGTAAATACACCCTCTTTCAAATAATTACCCCTTTAATAATTACACCCTCTTTTTCCTACAAAAATTTTAAAAATATTGAGAAAATCATTGTCATGTTTAATTATTGAAACATTTTAAGAAATAATATAAAAAATGAATCGACTTTCTCCTCGATTTATTGAGATATACCCCAAATTTAGCACCTCCTCTCAAATAATTACCCCCTAAGCAAAAGGTCGAAACAATAATTGCCCAGTGTAATTATTCTAGCATTTAAGGTACCTTATTAATTTTCTGGCTTTCTTCCTTAATGTGATAGTCCTCAAATATTTCTTTTAATTTTTCAATTTGCTGTTGAATGAACTCAATGTTTTGTTGGATTTTGTTTGAATAATTTGTTGTATTTAAATTATTACTGCTACTACTAGCTCCGTTGTCCTCATAAAAATAATTACTTCTTTCAACTGAATTGCTACTACTTCCTGTTTCAAAATTCATAGCAAAAATTTTAAAAATAATTCCAAAAAGGAAAATTAAAATGAATAATATTTTTATTCTCATTTTCAAAATATTCTAAAAAATATTTTAAATTTTGTTATTTAAATTAATAAAAGAAAACTAAGAGGGGAGGGGCAGCTATGTAAAGGCCGACTGAGCTTCAATCAGCCTGGACAGTGAGTCATTTATTTAGCTAGTTGAAGCGCATTCCAACTAAGCTCTTATATTATTGGATACCGTCAGCCTTGTGCTCGATCAAGTCGAAACCATTAACCCTACTCAGTTCTAGCACCTTTTGGAATTAATTCAATTCCTCTTCCATCTTCAATTCCTTATTCTTAAATAGGCAGGGCCCCTAATTAACTGGAAAATAGGAACCGGTTAAATAGGGGGTAAATAATATTTACAAAATATCTTTAAAAATTTCTGATCTAGACGTTTTTGGACGTTTATTAGAGGGATTTTAGTAGTAAAAACAAATATTAAAATTTATTTAAAAAGTAAATAGCAAAATTTTTAAATAAAATAAATAAAAATAAAGGGCTATATTGGCATTCCCTTCATATTTTTACTAGCTATTTATTAATAATTTTTAGAAAATCAATTTTTTACTTGATTTTAAATGTCTAATTATAGAGTGTTTAATTAAAGAATTGACAAACATAGATGTATTTAAATTCAACATTAATTTTTAAAATTGCCGTATTTATTCTGAAAATTATGAAATGACAGTTTTAGAATTTTTAGTTTTGAGGGAGAAGATTTCGTTCGGAACTGTCAAAGATTTGAAAATATTTAAATACGCAAATGTGTAAATCATTAAAAAGTTTGGAAATCTGACGTTGAAATTGGAAATGCCAAAAATCCTTCAATATCAACTAAATCACTGATATCCCTTGAAAATCATTAATCCCTTCAGATCCCCATATATCCCTTTAATCTTCGTTATCCTCGTTAATTTTTAATAAATTAACAAAAATATCTAGACAGAGCGGATTAACTTTTTTTATTAAAATCCCGTAATCCATCCAACCCAAACTAGCTCTCCTGACTCGGATATCGCCACGAAACAGTTCGGCAACCCCGTACCCCAAGACACCTAAGCCTGAGCGTTCTGGGCCAACCAGCCTCCGATATCCGTTCAAAATCTAATAATATAACACAAATCCACTTTTATCCGTCAAATCCCCGGATATTTGGGGATTAAGAGGAATATCAATTGTGATAGCTTCTATATCCCTTTAAATCCCAATTAATAACCGATATCATTTAATTCATATAAGGGGTATATCTATTTCTAACTGAAAAAATAGGTAATATTTACTTTAACTTATTCTTGCTCCTTCCTATATTTTTGTCCATGACTATATTTAAATTTTTTATTAAAAATGGATGGAAATAAAGAAAATAAATATAAAATAGATAAAATAATTGGCTTAAATAAACAAGCCAAAAAATCAAGTGCATTTTTTAATTGATGGATGCTTTAAAGCTCGAAATTTCGATTCAGCTCGACGCAAATTTCATACCGCTCCACAGCATTACTATTTAGCCTGTTAACGCATTCGAGATAAAAGCTATTTTACTTATTTATGTGTCTACATAAAAAGCATCTTGCGTTTTGCGGCAAGAAATAGTAAAAAAATAGTCTCCTCAATTTATTACAGCGACCGAGAGACTGACTGACAATTAATTGTAAATAAGAAAAAGGAATTTAATATTTTATTTATATTTAAATTTGATAACGGGTCGGATTGACTCTAAGCCGAATTCGACTTGGTCGAACCCGGGTCCGGGATTCGTAATACACAAATTATATATTTACAAAATATCTTTAAAAATTTCTGATCTCAGACTTTTTTGACGTTTTTCCAAAAAATTATTGTTAATAAATTATAAACCCCTTTTATTAAAATTTTATTTTCCGAAAAATAAGATTCACCTATCTTGTAGCAAATTTCAAGGGCTTTCTGATGAGCCCAAAATTAAAATTAAAAATCAATCCATAAGGGGTCGAAAATATTTTTTAAAGAGCCTTACCCCTGTTTTACGTTGATTTTTGGAGTTCAGGATCTTGACTTTGGGTAATGATATGGGTCTAGATTTTTTTTTATTTTTTCGCTATATCAATGTAAATGTTTGCTGCAATTTTTATAGATTTTTCCTAATGTCTTGAAGCGAAATAATAAATTTTGGACAGTGGTTTTTTGGGACAGTGGTTTTCAAGAAATTTTGGCGTAATTTTCGTCATAATATTGCAAATTGTCTGAAAACTTGCAATATATTTCAGAATAAGCCTAATAAACATACATTAAAAATATTTGGAGTTTGTAATCTGCGAACTACATTATGATGAAATTTATGGGTGAACTCATAATTTTGGGCAGAGTGTATTAAAATTTGAGTTAACGCACGAAATCGCTGAAAGGAGTAATTAATCGAGGGATTTAGCAGCAGAAATAAATAATAAAATTAATTTTAAAAATAAATAGCGAAATCTTGTAAATAAAATTAATAAAAATAAAAGGCTATATTGGCATTCCCTTCATATTTTTATTAGCTATTTATTAATTTTTCGAAAATCAATTTTTTACTTGATTTTAAATGTCTAATTATAGAGTGTTTAATTAAAGGGTTGACAAACATATATTTATTTATTTATATTCAACATTAATTTTTAAAATTGCCGTATTTATTCTGAAAATTATGACATGAAAGTTTTAGAATTTCTAGTTTAAAGGAAGTAGAGGATGCTCTGAACTATCAAAGATGTTATTTTAAATACTTAAATGTGTAAATCATTAAAAGTTTTGGAAATCAGAAGTTGAAAGGATGATTATTCACCCAGCAGCATTTAAAACGCTTAGGCGGGGGTTAAACGATCTAAAAAGGAAAAGAAAGCATTAGTCGATGCCCCGGGAGCTCAGAGGTAGAGCTTTTGCATAGCGTGAGCGAATGCGCCTAGCAACAACAACTTATTACTTTATAATAAAAATATTTATTTAAACTATGTGTGGTCCAGACTTATTTAAAAAAATATATTTAGAAAAATTTAGACATTGCGTAAAATTGGGTGTTTTTTGTTTGCAGATTGTGGATTCTAATGTCAAATTTGCGGACTGAGAATGCGGAATTTTTTTCCTCTTGCGACATACTATCGGGAAATAACTAGGACTGTGCGACAAAATTTCCTGTTATATCCATAATATAAGTACAAATTTTAAAATATTTAACACTATTATTTATCAACATTTGTTCTAAATATAAATTTAGATTAACATTTATATAAAAAATAGATTAACTAATATATAGGTAAACTATTTTTTCAATACAACATTTCAATTAAGACAAAGTTTGCTTGTTTGGTTGCAATTATTTGGGCACCCACTACATGGCTCACCAACATTATAAACGCATTTTGTGATAACATTTCCACTAGAATTATACAATTTTAATAAAAATTATATAAATATTTATTACGCTGGCCTGTATTGACAGACTACATAAGTTTTATATAAAGGGCAACGTCCAATTCCACATCCAACTTGATTAGTGTTCCACCATGCAAGTTGTGTCCAATGCCCAATACCTCTAGCATTTTGAGCACCAGTATATGGAATACATGTTGATCCAGGCTCAGGCCCCAAAGCACCTCTGTATATTAACTCTGCCCACCATCCACTTACTACATGCTCGATGGCACGAGCTATGGTTTAAAAAGTAAAATAAATATATCAGATAAATACTAGCATTATCCAAAGCTAAAAATTCTCTCCAAAAGTTTGGGCTGTATCCGAATGACTATAAGTACATTGATCTGCCCAAGATTGTGCTCTCTGTTCACACTCTAAAGAATAATTCATCTGTTTCATAAGAGCTGGTTTTGGCATAAAGCTTCCAGTGTTGTTTTTAACCCTTCCCGCAGCTAATTCGGCACGATAATAATTGTGCCAGTAGACTACTGCATCACGTCCGGCTTGATCAAGAGCGTGAGTAACTATTAAATTGAATTGTTGAGTTAGATTTTAGTATTCTTATTTAATTACATTCGTTATTCACAAGAGCAACCAATACAAATAAAATTGGAAACAAAATGAACATTTTTTGATATTTTTTTATAGATAATTTAGAATTTATTTTAATTCAAATGGAGCGATAGTTTCAAGCTTTTATAGCCTCTCCCCAAATCTAAAATAAAGTACAATTTAATTAAATGTGTGGCATAAAAATACAAAATAAGTGCACTTTTAGATAATTATCATCTAAACAAATATTTGGAAGTCTGGACCACCCATTGTTTAAATAAATATTTTTAATATAAAAGTCGAATTAAATGATAAAGATAACCAAAAACTTGAAGCTCATTAAGTTATATTAAATATATTCTTTAAAAAACAAAATAACAAAAAATGTTCATTTTGTTTCCAATTTTATTTGTATTGGCTGCTCTTGTGAATAATGAACGTAATTAAATAATAATACTTAAATCTATCTCAAAAATTAAATTTAATAGTTACTCACGCTCTTGATCAAGCCGGACGTGATGCAGTAGTCTACTGGCACAATTATTATCGTGCCGAATTAGCTGCGGGAAGGGTTAAAAACAACACTGGAAGCTTTATGCCAAAACCAGCTCTTATGAAACAGATGAATTATTCTTTAGAGTGTGAACAGAGAGCACAATCTTGGGCAGATCAATGTACTTATAGTCATTCGGATACAGCCCAAACTTTTGGAGAGAATTTTTATGCTTATGTAGCTTTGGATAATGCTAGTATTTATCTGATATATTTATTTTACTTTTTAAACCATAGCTCGTGCCATCGAGCATGTAGTAAGTGGATGGTGGGCAGAGTTAATATACAGAGGTGCTTTGGGGCCTGAGCCTGGATCAACATGTATTCCATATACTGGTGCTCAAAATGCTAGAGGTATTGGGCATTGGACACAACTTGCATGGTGGAACACTAATCAAGTTGGATGTGGAATTGGACGTTGCCCTTTATATAAAACTTATGTAGTCTGTCAATACAGGCCAGCGTAATAAATATTTATATGATTTTTATTAAAATTGTATAATTCTAGTGGAAATGTTATCACAAAATGCGTTTATAATGTTGGTGAGCCATGTAGTGGGTGCCCAAATAATTGCAACCAAACAAGCAAACTTTGTCTTAATTGAAATGTTGTATTTAAAAAATAGTTTACCTATATATTAGTTAATCTATTTTTTATATAAATGTTAATCTAAATTTATATTTAGAACAAATGTTGATAAATAATAGTGTTAAATATTTTAAAATTTGTACTTGTATTATGGATATAACAGGAAATTTTTTCGCACAGACCTATTTGTGTCCCGATAGTATGTCGCAAGAGGCTATTTCGGCGATTTTTTGGCGAGTTATCGTAAAAGAATAATTTTTATAATAATTAGATTATTGAAAGTTATATTTCTGTAAAATCAGATAATTTTCGAATTTGAAGTAGTCGCTTCGAATTCAATTAGGATACTATTGCTGTTGTGGGTATGAAAAATTAAAAATTCGAGAAACTGGATAGGAAAAGATAGCGATTTGGTACAAAATAGAAAATTTATTTTCAATTTTACTTTATGATAAAATTTCTAATTAATTTATTTTCTCTCTATTTTTATCATTAATTTGTTATTCTTTTTTTAATTTTTAGAAAATACAAACAAAATCATTCTCATAGTTTTAGCTTTTTCCATAGCCATAAATCTGTCATCCCTTTTCTTCACGAATTGCACTTCTGTCCAAATATTTCCCTTCGCGCCGAATGTGATCCATCACTATTTACTTATTTTATTTTTGATTCCACTCTCCAACCCCCCCCCTCCCCTCCCTCCTCTCCCTCCCCTCCTCCTCTTCCCTCCACCAAACCCTCTTTTTTATTTTCATTCATTTCTCATCGCAAGTCAAAACAGCACTTCTCCCTTACATTTAAACTCATTCATTATCTTCAATTCATTGGCCTCTTCTTGTATGAGCGAATATTCCTCCGGCGCGCCTTCTGCTACTATTCCATCTTTGAGGGTTATTTGAGTTTAAATAACATTTTTTGAAAATTTTATAGAAATTTTATTCAATTTTCTGAATTTAAATAATCTTCATATATTTAAAAATTCTTGGAATTAAAGTAGTTAACCACCCCTCCAAGTCGTCAGGGGCAGCGGGGTCCATCCATTTAGCCCCTCCCACTAATTAAACGGTCATTTAGACACAACAGCTAAGTCGTAAGAGTCTGAAGGTTCAAAGAGTTTCTAAAGGTTTAAGAAGTAGTTTTAAACCGGTTTAAGAGGTAAATTTTGAACTTTTTCTAAAGATATGCGTCCCTTCCTTATTTATATGATTATATAACCAAATTATTCCCAAAAATTCAAAGGTTTAAGAAGTAGTTTTAAACCGGTTTAACCGGTTCAATACACGTTTTCTCTTATTTTTCATAAGATTACATAACTAACAGGTTACTAAAGATACAAGGGTTTAAAAAAGTAATTTTAAAGGTTTAACCGTTTCAAAGAAGGATTTCACATATTTTAAAATAAAAAACAATTAAAAAACACCTTACCAAACCATTCCCCATATTCATCACGAAACATCTAAAAAACACCTTTCGAACACTCTTCTAAAATTTACAACTATCTTGTATTTTATTTTTACCCTTAGTCGTTGAAAAGTAAAAATAAATAAAAATCAGCCATGCAATAATTTTTGCAAAAATTATTGCTGAAATAGGTCAAAAATCTGTCATGCAAAAATTATATAGCAAAATTATTTTTAGAAAGGAAAATAAATGTTGAATTCATAAAATTTCCAAAAAATAGTAGTTAAGCACTATCTTGTTAACAACAAGCACAAGCACCCCATATTGTTAACAAAACTAAAGTCAAACAAAAGGACGCTTTAACCAAATGGTTTATACCAAAGGGTTTAAGGGGTACTTTAATCAAACCGGTTTAAGAATACATTTGACCTTTTTAAAGAAATCACCCTACTTTTCACCAGAATACATATCCAAACGGCTTCCAAAGATCCAAGGTTTAAGAAGTAGGTTAAACCGCTTTATCCTGTTCAAATAAGGATTTCTCATATTTTTCAAAAGATTACATAAACATAAATTTAAATGATTCCTAAAAGTTCAAGAGTTTAAGAAGTAATTTTAAACCAGTTTAACAGGTTTTTCCTACATCAAAACCTCCCATATTAAACTTCACTTCTCATATCAAATATCAAAAATTAAACCACTACATAATTTTAAAAAGTTACATTTACATTTAATCCCTCTTATCTTGATCTAATCCTTTTCCTTTTATTTTTCCATTTTTGAAAAATACAATAATTATTATAAAAAGTGGAAATTTGTTAAACTCAGTCATGCGCAAGAAAAATGGTGAATTTTATATATACTGAAAAGTAAAAATTGGGTAAATTATTTAAAAAAAGTAGGCGTTGGAGGTAAAAATAATGTTAAAAAGTGAAAATATGTCACAAAATACGTCATGTGAAAATTGTTTCAAAAAATTATTAAAAAGTAGGCGTGGAAAAGTGAAAATAGAAAAACTGGTCAAATAAAAATGCATTTATAAATCCAAGTTTCTGAAAATTTTCCTCATTCTTTGAATAATTTAAAAATATTGATATTACTTTACTAACATTAAATGTCTCCTCCACCTCTAAAGAGATCGAGGATGTTCCTCATTGACAACTTATTGCAAAAGGGTTCAGGTGACTATGTTAAACAACTCGGTGAGGAAACTAAACTCACTAAGAAATTCAACATGACCAAACTGACTACGAAATTTCTAATTAATAAACTACCTCCAAACCCCGAAAGCTTACTCCAGGAAATATTCCAAACCTGCATCGACAAAACAATATCTACAGGCCGCGAACACCAACTTGAACCTGATCAACTAGGATGTATTGTCAGCAGTCAACTGCTCGAAACTGACATTTGGATTCCCATTAGAGACATCACCAACAATACCATCGACGCCATACTTAATCAATTCTTGAAAGTCGCCCAATCCAAAAAGCAAGATAATGGTATGCTTTGGGGCGAACCATTTACAGTCTCCGTTACATGCATTGACAAGCAGAATCTCCCTAGAATACGCGTCATCAACGGAAGCGGTGGGAAATCTACTCGTAGAATCAATGATAAAAATCTCATCAAAATACGCAATACCGACAACCTATGTTTGTTTTATGCATTAATGGCTTCATACGCCTACTCAATATTTTCCTGGCCAAAATGGAAGTTCTATGATTATATGCATAGTAGAAGAGGTATGACTCATCAACTCGAACAAGATACCATAAAGCTATTGAGAGATATTGGAGCTCCTCTTGATCAACCAAGCTATGATGCGCAGAACTGGGTTCCCAAAGTGGTCAACTATTGGAATACATTGAACATAGGCCTGTTTAAAGTTTATATTTTTGGTGAATTTGCCGAAAAACCTATCTTCAAATATGGACAGGAAAATTACAACACTCCAATTATTCTTTATCACCACAATCAACATTTCGACAGTGTGCGAAGGGCATCTGATTTGTTTGGTGAAGCTTATTGCCTTTTTTGTGAAAAAACGTACAATCGTCCAAAAGATCATGCCACGTCCTGCAAAGCTAAATGCCAAAACTGCTCCAGGATCGGTCCAAACTATCCATGCAAAGAACTGAACAACTACTTCAAACAATGCTCTGGGTGTTCTAAAGAATTCAACAACGAGGAGTGCTACAAATACCACCTATCTTCAAACTTCTGCAACAATTCTAAAAAATGTGAAAAGTGCGGAGTGGTATGGAATGTCTATTTTAACAACCGGAATGGACGTACTGGACATGTCTGCACTGAACGTTACTGTAACACCTGCTTCAGCTACCACGATCCAAAAAGAGGGTGTTACATCAAACCTTTTTTTCCAAAGAAGCCCAAATCCTACCGCATCATCGCTTTTGACTTTGAAACTACTCAACACAAACAAGGAGAAAAGGGTAATCTTCACGAAGTCAACTTTATTTCTGCTAAAATAAATTGCCCCGAGTGTATTGCTAATGACTCTGACAACGACTGCACTGTTTGCGGAGAAGATAAAACTATTACATTCTCCCACCGACCATTCTCCAGCACTCAAGTGGATCAGCAAAATGTAACCAATGATCCTCTGACTGATTTTGCGTCCTGGATCACCAACACTTCAACGGATACAGTAGCCTTCTCTCATTTTGGTGGAAGGTTCGACATGGTCCTACTTTTCAAGGAATTGTATCTTCAAGGCTTAATTCCAGAAATGATTAAGAAGGGCAACAAGATGTATGAGATGAAGGTAAAAAATAATAAAAAATGTTGGATCATCTTCCACGACACCTATAATCTTATGCCAATGCCGTTGGCTTCTCTTGTACCTGCATTTGGGCTTCAAGTTGAAGACAAACCTTTCTTCCCTCACCTAGCCAACAACCCAAAGAATTATGGGAAACACATCTACCCTACAAAAGAAGAATACCTCGCTAATACTATGATGCCCGAGAAAAAGGTTCAATTTGACAAATGGTACGACCAACACAAGAATAAGCCTTTCGTTTTGGATGAACAACTTGCATCCTACTGCACAAACGATGTTGAAATACTTATGGCTGCTCTTATAGCTTTCAGAAAAGAATTTTTGGAGGTCTCCAAAGGGTTGGATGTGCTTCGGGAAGCCATGACTATTGCTTCAGCCTGCATGAAGCATTTCAGGATGAACCACCTTGAGACTAATCACGTTGGGATTGTCCCGGAAAGAGGGTACGACAACGCGGATAATCAGAGTAAACTTGCCCTAAAGTTCCTTAAATGGTATGCTGAGAAGAAACAAGTTCAAATGAGGACTGCCCACTCAAAGAAAGGTGAAAAGAGGATGGGGAACTATAGATTGGATGGATGGATAAAGGAAAAGAAGTTGGTAATTGAAGTCAATGGATGTTGTTGGCATGGATGCCCCAAATGCTACCCGGACGACAACATAAAACTTCCTACTGGTCTCACAGCTGGACAACAAAGAGAGAAAGACAAACAACGTTTGAACTTTATCAAGAATTTGGGAGTGGATGTGGAGATCTTTTGGGAGTGTGAAATACGAGCTATGTTATCAAAGGACTATGAGATGAGGAAGATGTTTAAAAAATACCTGGATGACGGACCCATCAACATTAGAGAGGCCTTCTACGGTGGCAGAACGGGTCCTCTCAAACTCTTTCACAAGGCTGAAGCTGGGAAGAAGATTTCTTACTATGACGTCACTTCCCTCTACCCGTTTATCAACGTTTCGACTCGTTATCCTGTTGGACATCCTGAAGTCCACGTCATCAACAAGGATGTCAACTGGACTAAACCTGAAGACAACGTGTACAATATTGCTCTTCTAAAATTATTCGTCATCCCACCACGAAATATAGATGTTCCAGTATTACCAATGAAAATTGGGGAAGACGAAGATGAAAGACTACTATTTCCCCTGTGTTTTACTTGTGCCAAAGAGCATCCACATGGGGATGTTATGGAAAATTATTGCTGTCCCCATTCAGATCAACAAAGAGGGTGGGTCAGCACATGCACGTCTATTGAATTGAATGAAGCCCTCAAGGAGGGATATATTGTCACTAAATTATTCAGAGTATTGGAATACAAAAGCTACGACGACAAACTGTTCACCCCATACATCAGTGAATTTATGACGCAAAAAATTCACTCGTCTGGCTTTGACAACACAATTAAAGGAGATAAAGAGAAAGAAGATAAATTTATGAAGGAATGTATGGAATTGTTTGGGATTAATATTGCGAGGGAGAAGATGGTGGTCAACAAAGGGAAACGGACACAAGCCAAATTGTGTCTAAACAACTTATGGGGAAGATTTTCCCTTCGTAACTTTGGCCTCTCTCAGTGCAAAATTTCCGATGACCCAAGCGAATACGTGAAAATGAGCGACGACCCATCAATTACTATTAACCACTGTCATGAATTGACTGAGAATG